TTTAAGTTATTCAAAATCATCCGTCTCTTTCACAGGTATTGTCTGAAGAACATCTAAAGCAGCTCCTCGAAGGGCGATGGTCAAATTTACTGTTTTCTTTCGTTCAGACCATTCGTTTGCTCTAGCAGCTGTTTTGAACTGCTTAAGGTAGTTGGTCCATGACATCTTTCCGTCGAAATTTGGGGCTTTAACACGAGCAAAATTTACAGCTCCTTCCAATTTTAACTTCGACTCTACCTCATGGCACTTTATTTCACCGTCCTTGGCAGGTTTTGTATGTTCCAGTTTTTAAATCTTCTCTTCCATCTGTTTTATTTTCTCCTCAACGAAGACATTATTTTATTCTCAACTGATGGTAGCTTATTCTCAATAGAAGAAATTTCAGAAGACACCTTTTCAGTTTTTATAGAAGAAATTTCATCTTTTAAAGAGGAGATATCGGAAGAAACTTTAGTTTCTAAAGACGAGATTTCGTTTTTCACGGAAGACATATCAGACGAAACTTTGCTTTCTAAGGCGGAAATGTATGAAGAAACTTTATTTTCCATGGAAGACATTTTACTTTCCAAAGAAGAAATTACAGAAGACGCATCATCAGGAAATATATACGTTTCCGGATCCAAAACTTTACTTTCTAGTGCTTCCTTAAGCCGCACTGCCAGCTCTGCTTTCTTTTCTGTCGTCTCTAGATCACGATCTTCTAATTATCGACGCAATTTAGCCACTTTCAAATCACACAGTTTTTTAGCCATTTTTGTCCACCATTCTAGAATGTTCTCACCAATTCTCACCAACACTAGTAACATTATCACGTTTAATCTGGAATGTACTCGAAAGCGCCTTCGCCATAGAAATCACATATCTTTGGTCTTAAGGGGTTTAATTATGTTTGATATTTGGACAAGTTGAGCCTCAAAGGCCAAATAAGACAGAGAGGGACTTGGTGGATTAGAGCATGACTGAATAATGAAATGGCTCGCATAACATTATTTTTTTTTAGGAAAAAAACAATTTTACATCATATATTATTTTTTAGGATTAAAACAATAAATTTTATATTATTTTTTAGGATTAAAACAATAAATTTTATATTATTTTTTAGTCAAAATTACCAAAAGGTTCTGTCAAAAAGAATGGTTTATAATTTCATCATCAAATTATTGTTCATGTGACATCCTCTATTTTAAAATTTAAAATTATAAAGTATATCATTTTTCTTGCCAAAAATAATAACCCCTCTGCCAAATTCGCAAATATTATATACAGATTGTAAAATTATTACCAAAAAATTTTTGTACTTTTTATTTTCAGTATATTATTAAAGAAAGTTGAATTAGATTTAAATATACGAAGTCACCACTATCATTACGCTATAGCCCATTATTTACAGACCACCATGTATTTATTTGATAATGGGATCATATACAGTGTGGAACAGCTAAATGGAATAAACTCGGTAATAAATAAATAGGGACGTGTTCGGAAAAACGCTCAGACACATCGAATGGTATTTTTAGTTGTGCATTTTTTTAACAAATACTTTTTATACAGGGTGTGTCATGTAACAGTGGCCATCCTGTATATTTTTGAATTTCTGGATTTTCCAGAAAATTCTAGATATATTTTATGTACTATGTCCTATGAATAACTGTTCCGAAAATATTACAACCTAGCTGACATAAGAAGATAAACGCTTGCGATTAGATCGGTCACTCCTGAGATGGTGAGTAACGTTAGAAGACATTTTTATTTCAGATTAGGACGTTGCCAGAGGTTCGCGGCGAGCATTTTAATCATCTCCTACATTGAGATGTGTTTTTTTGTTACATTATCAAGAAATAAACAATATTACTTATTAGTTTTTGAGTGTGTAGTAAAGAATTTCTGTAGTCAAATAATTTTATTTTATTAATATTAATTTTTGCAATAAATCGGAAAACATTTATTATTTCCGAAACAGTTAGGTATCGGACATAGTACATAAAATATATCTAGAATTTTCTAAAGAATCCAAAACTTCAAAAATATACAGGGTGTTTAAAATAAGAAAGATGGTGTTGGCCACTATTACATGACACACCCTATATTAAAAGCTTTTGTTAAAAAAAAATGCAAAACTAAAAATACCAATGGACTTGTCCGAGCGTTTTTCCTTACTTGCCCCCATTTATTTATTACCGAATTTATTTCACTTGGCTGTTCCACAGTACTGGGGGTCGATTCTCGACTTTTATTCCCATGGGAAAATAAAACTTTCCCATGGGAATTCAGTTTTCGTATTCTCGACATAAGCGATGGAATATTTTCCAATGAGAAGTATGTGAAAATATTCCCCTGTTTACGAGCATTGGAAATTGTGTTTTCCAATGGGAATTGGACTAGAGTTTGCGCACTAAAGTCGAAAATTTGGCGAAAGACTATAAGACATAACCAAAGATTATTGGATATCTTGGATTTTTGCTGAAATTGTAGTTGAAACATTTTTTTGGCGTATTTATAGATTGACATTATTTTATTTATGTAGGTATATATTATTTTTACTTCTCTTTCACTAAGAAACTGTATGAACTTAAATCAGTTAGAAATTGTGGAAGCTGCTAAGGGACTGGCAAATAACATAAATTGAGAAATTTGTAGTACATATAATAAGACCTTTTCGAAAATTTTATTATTTCCGTTAACGAAAGAATTTCTTAGTTTCTCGAAACTTTCGTTGCTCTTCCATACAAAAGCTACTTTTTCTTTTCAACATGTGATAAGAAAAATAAAGTTTTATTAATAATAATCGAATATTTTCAATTGTTCCTTGGTCATCTAGCGATTGCTCGGCACGGCATCTGCTCCAGCGCGGAGGGTCGGCAGCACGTCGGCAGGTAATCGATTACACAAAAACCACAACAAATACAAATAATGCCAATAGTAAATTTTAAAATATCTTTAATGTAATTGGTTGTTTCGGAATATTCGTGGACTTAATATCAGACATACCTGAAACTACTATTTCCATGGGAATGTCTATTCCGACAAGTTCGAGAATTGCATAACCTGTTACCATGGGAATATAAGTATTGGAATCTTTTCCAATGGGAAAATTTTCCAGTGAACTCGAGAATCGAGCCCCTGGCGTATTAAGCTAACGTTATGACGTTGACCAATGAGTAGTGGATGACGCCTGTGATGTTGACCAAAAAATGGCAACATGTCACGGTGGTATCAGTGGTGTCAGAGGAGGTGCGGAAATAGGTTTGTTTTGGTTCAGGTTCTAGAATTGTTCCAGAACCATGCACATAACTATTGCGACATAGTCCTTAATTCTAAACAGTTCCGTAACCATTCCACTTGTATTCGAAACCAAAACACTGCCAGAACAGTTAAATGTCAAAAAGTAAATTATAAATAAAAAAGAAGAAATCACACAGGTCAGTGTAAGAAAGAGGCCATATAATATTCTAAAACGTAGATAAATTAAATAATTTACTCGTAAAAAGTCTTATGACCCAACATCATTAGTTATTAGAAAATTTCTTGTAAAAATTCCAACACAAAACATAGCCCAGATAACAATTATACATTCTTAGCATATTCTCAGTATATGCTTTTTAAGAATGTGCATATGCTGAGAATATACTGTATTTGCATTTGGAATATTCTCAGAATATACCAAGAATATGCTACGTGACGTTATTTATACGTGCTATGCAGATACTGAGAATGTACTTCAAGTATGTGTACAGCATGCAAAAGGTATCTACTCTAATTTGATAGTACGTTCTAAGTATATGCTAAGTATTTAAATATAACATATGCTGGGCATATACTAGACACCATAATACAGGATATTTTTTGATTAATATTGAACATTAAAGAATAAGTGTACCTATATAATAATGAAAATCGTGACCATTTTTTTAATCTTTATTTAAAAAAATCATATATACTTATCTTATTTTTATTACAAATTCTTTCTTCGACCTTAACCAACCAATATTTTATTGCTTGATTTCATTGGATCTTCATTGAACCTAAAAAATAAAAAAAAAATCAACAAACTTATACAAATACATATACAAATTAAGTGTACATAGCTAATGGAATATTTTTGTCGAACGTAAAACATTAAAAATTGTACATGGCATTCCACTAACAAATACAAGAGGTACATAAATGACTATTATGTTCACTGAAAGTTTAAATATATTTTTGTTAATTACTTACCACCATTTTGTAGTTTTCGTTCTCCTTTAGCTAATTTCTCTCAGAATATGAGGAACATGCTGGGTATATGAATTTTGGTATCTTCTAAGAATGTCCTGTTATAGCACGTGCTGAGTATATACTTTTTTGAATATACTTTTAAGGCACATACTCAGTATATACTTTTTAGAATCTACTTTCATAGAACGTACTCAGTATATACTTTCTAGAATATACTTTCAAAGTATATACTAGGTATGTTCTAAGAACATTCTAGAAAGCATATACGAAAAAGAACATAGACAGAACATTCTTAGTATATTCATAGAACATTGATGTTATGTGGGAGCCAGGATCCCAAAAACAAAACTACTTGCAAAAAAGCGCAAGCGCAAATATATCAATTCTGAAACAGTTCTCGCTTTAAGCCAGAACCGACGTTACTGTTCGAGAATGGTTATGGAACCATTCCCAAGAAAACCACAGAACTTAAAGGTTTGGAACTAGTTCTGGCGAAATCAAAACATAGAATATTTACTGCGCATGCTCCAAAGTTTCTGGAAGAGTTCTAGAACAGTTACGAAAATGAACCAAAACAAAGCTAATAACACACCTTTATTTCCTCTGATCCCGTAAACTCCGAAAATCTCTATAAATTTTGGAACGATTACAGATGTAAACAATCCATTACATATTCCTAAAATTTTTCTACCATCTATTATTTTGAAAACGTAATATATTTCTGGTAAAGAAATAATGTAGCCTTCAGATACTTCTATAGATAATAAAAAAATAATTTCTTTTAGAAACGTCTCTTGGAGTTAATTTAAAGGAAAAAGATAGTATATCATACAAACAAGCAATACACAAATATGGACAACTAATACCTGACAGAGTCGTAAATCCGTTACTCTATAGTGATTTTATTTACTCTAAAACGAAATACCATAAACAAATGAAAAATGTTATAAATATTTTACATGATTTTTCAACAAATATTATTAAGGAGAGAAAAGAACAAAAAAACACTATAGAAAAATCTGGGATATCTTATTCTGAGCGAAAACGATTGGCTTTACTAGATTTATTGCTTGATAAGGGTTTGGAAGATGAAGAAATCAGAGAAGAGATTGACACTTTTATTTTTGAGGTAGTTATTACTTGATTTTATTCATAAATTTGTGTAAATTGTTTCTTTATTTTTATCCATGACATGACAAATGCGTTCACGCACACATCCAACTATTGGACTGTTTAGTAGTGTGAGAATCATGATTTCTGATATCCACTAACCCCCTCTTTACCGGTCGCGGCTGCAGGTGGAACAATTTTTTGATACGTCAGCCACGTTCACCGTCACAATTTTTTTCCTAATATCGCTCACGCTCCTCCTTTTCCCTGTTATTCATGATTTTCTTTACCATTGTTACGGGTCAGAAATTTATCGTACTCAAATAATTAGTTATTATTATTAGTTCATAATTAGGGAGCAGGGGTCAGGACACTTGAGACCGGGAACTTTTTACTGACCGTGGGAACTAAATTTTCCTTTGATGATGTCATGGCAAACGAAAACGTCGAAACGTCAAACGAAAACGTCGAAACGTCAAACGAAAACGTCGAAACGTCAAACGAAAACGTCGAAACGTCAAACAAAAACGTCGAAACGTCAAACGAAAACGTCGAAACGTCAAACGAAAACGTCGAAACGGCACTATGTAGAGAACGCGGTATAGATTAACGTTTGACACACTCTATTTCTGTAACGAAAAACAACCATTAAGTATTTGAACAATTGAGTAAAAACATCAGTGAATAGAGTTTACCTGATTTATTTTTCCACCTCCCAACTCTCCAGATGAAATTTATAAACCTGATTATATAATGTCACCCCCTATCAATCGAGGGAGCAATGTAATACCATGTCTATCTGTATCTGTAACGTGTGAAGGGTGGGTTACCCCCACACTAGGCCCATTGTGCATCCTCCTAAGATGATAGACACCTCTTAGCGCGTGAGCCAGCTTATAGATTTAATGTAGTTGACAACGTCGCAAAGAGGTGCTTCTCTTATATCAGCAGGTGTTAGCCGATACTCGCCGAACACAAATCTTCCAATAAACAAGAGCGTCAAGCAATCATAAAGGAATTAACGCAAATAATCTGTTTTCCTATTTAGGCAGGCTATTCAGCGTCGTTACACAATTCTATAGGAGGGGGCAAAATTTTGAAAAAAATTAGTATGTTTATTTATTGGAAAACAAAGAAAATGAAACATAAAAGAGAATTTTCTTATGATGGATTTAATTATTCTGTGACTTCATGGCTTACTTCCGGTTTTTCCAGAAATAATAGAAAATCGCAATTTATTTTTTTATTTTTAAATGAAAACCCTTTTTCTTATTGAAAATTTGAATTTCTGGGCCATTTTTGTATAAGAAGCGTGTATTGAAAATTTTCTCAGTAACATATTAAAAAAAATATGTTCCAATATGATGATCATTTTGACAGCTGACAAAAAATTTTCAACACATGATTCTTATTCATAAATGTCCCTAAAATTCAAATGTTCAATAAAAACGGGGGTTTCTATTTAAAAATTAAAAATAAATTGAGATTTTGTTATTTCCGATTAAACAGAAGTAAGCCATGAAGTCACACACCAATTGAATCCATAATATTAGAGTATTTGTCCCAATCTTTTAAACAAATAAGTTTTCATTCCAATACATCAATTAATAACGAAGATAAAAGCGGATAAATTATTAAACGGTTTGCTAATAATAAAAATGCTTAGATACGCCACTGGTATACGGTAAATGGGTCTCAGTGGGAATTTTGAAGCCTAAAAAGATTTTATAAAGTTCGTACATTCCTATATGTTTTTCCATAAACGAATTAATAGTAACATATTTAGAAAAAATATTATCCAATATGGCAGCCATTTTGACAGCTGACAGAAAATTGTCAATACACGATTATTATACAAAAATGTCCCAGAAATTTAAATTTACAATAAAAAAGAGGGTTTCCTTTTAAAAATAAAAAAAATCTTACGTCACAGAACAATTGAATCCATCATAAGAAAGTCTTTCAAACAGAACAAAATTATTCCGATATCTCACTGAATAGCTAAGGGGGAGTGGAACTGTAGTAGTAACCCTAACAATGCCACTGACCTATTTGACAGAACTGATACTTAAGTTGTCATAACAAGTCTCTAATAAATAAAATAACCCAACAAAAAAAGACAAAATAAAAGTATATGGATTTATAAAACAAGTAAAAAAATTATTATTATATATTTTTATTACTTCAGCTAAAAAAGTAGTATAATCAATAAAAATCAATAATAAAACATAGGTAGGTATTTACGAGAAAATGTATGAGATCTTGCCTAAACCTAATAAGTTGTCATTGAAGAATAGGTTAAATAATGACAAAATAAAAACACTACTATTATATAATATCGTAGAATTAAAACGTATTAACAAAAATAATTGGTATATTTGCGATTGTAATTTATATTTTCTTCATTTTTAGTTTGAAAGAACCCAGAGAAATTAATAATTAAAACTGTTTTCCTATCACAAGATTGCATTTCAGCCATATATAATAATTAAAGGCAAAAACCTAATTATTTTCTAAACATTTAAGATTTAAGGGATGTTGAAGAATATCATAAAATAATAATTTATTGTTTATTTAAAACCTTTTCTGATATATATTATTTCTAGTATTACCGTTATTATTACAAAAATTAAGGTTTTTTTTTCTTCTTATTATACAGCTATCTATTTATTTTTTTGATTTATTTTCGATTTTGCTACTGAAAATTTATATAATTTACAGTTTTTTTGCTAGTACAATTTGCAACATAGCAAATTCAGTTGCTCATTTTATTGTTTTTAACCTATTTTTTAGTAAAAAGTAAAATGTATACGTGTACCTGATATGCCAAAATTACAAAATATCGCCCTAAAGTACTCGAATTATCCGCAGCTTGCGCTAGTATCGCTTTTGCTTTCCCTACCATGACTTCGCACTGATCGAATAGATCGCAGCCATGTTTTAACATGCCTTAGCGTGCAAAAAGTTCTTTAGATTAACTCTGTCGTTGGTGGAAGAGCCATAAATATTTTTTAAACCACTTTGTATGTCTGGATAAAATTCACAATGTTTGGATGCTATATCATTAATGGAGAGCTCATTGTGTGTAGAAAGCTGTTTCGTAGTCCAGTTTGGTATTCAGCTTCAAAATTGCCAATTCAAAATTTTTCCACTACTTTCATTTTCTAATCAGTAGTGAAAAAAGTATTGTTTTTATGCTTTTGAGATGTAACAGGCTTAAGGAAAAGCGTAATGTAAGCGACGTAATAAGAGAATCCAGATATGCAATAAATATATTCAACCTATAATATTCTTCAACTATATTAGCGAGAATATTATTATTTCTATATGAGATTGTTGTTCGTAATGCATATCTTACGCGTTGTTGATTAAGTCGCTAAAAGCCGGGGGGGGGGACAACTGCCCCCTCCTTGCCCCCCCCAAACGACGCCCATGCGCAGAAGTATCTTCCTTTGGGCTCTTTCCAGTAGGTCTCTAAACACGCTAGGTACTCAAATCACACGGGACTGAATTACAATAACCCATAGAACATGAAGCGTGATTCATGAGAAAAATCGAAAAAAGGTACAAAAAAATATTTTCATACACAAGTTTATACCCCGATTTATATTTTTTTATTTCTGATTCTTCCTTATTTTCATGTTTTTTAAAAAATATATTTATTTTCTAAACAGTTAAAAAAGTATCAACTTAGGATTCACCCACAGAACTGAAATTAGGAGAATGGATTTGATGTTAATACTTACTCAAAATTTACGTTCAAAATTGAGGTTTGAGTTTGCGCAGTAAGTACCTATCAGATATGTCAATTGTTATTCGTGAAAGTGTTTTGAAAATAAATGTTAATTTTATTAATTTAAAAACAATTTTTGTGACGATTAACCGCGTATTATACAACCCACCGTTAATTTTTTTTTCTGAAAACATTGTTAAATTACGACCTTGTTTAGCACCTACTGCGCAAACTCAAAAAACCTCAATTTTATTCTCCTTGTAGAAACGTTTTTGTAAACTGTCAAATCCATTCTCCTAATTTCAGTTCTGTGGATTCACCATGCATATGTAACTGGAACCTATAAAGTATTAGGCATTCCAAACAAATGAATTGCCACTGGGCAGGTTTTGTAGATCTGACGGTTGCGACATACGATGTATTCTATCTAAAATACGTAAAATCATGAATAATGGATTACATTTAAATATTTTATATCGAACACTATAAAAATATTAATTAAAAAAACTGCTTGTACATTTCTTTAAAAACTGGCAGGATTGGCGACTGATATTTCGAATAAAAATAGCGTCCAAGATGCAAGACTTTGTCGCTACCCCCTTAGATACACGAGACCTTCCCACTGGCAGGTATTGTTTGACAGGTCGTTGGAATGCCTAATTTATTATCATTTGTCAATACCACATACTTTGATTTTCTTTGTAGAGTAGACAAGTTGTAGTGATTTTTTCAAAATTAATTAAAAAGATACACATACATTTTGTTTGTTTTTGATGTCAAGTAGTTAAGGGGGAAGTAAAGTTTTAAATTTTTTTTTTTTTTATTTTTTTTAATTTTTTTTATATTTGATTTTGTGAATGGAAAACCTTCCAAGAATATTGTGTAAAAATTTGAGATAAATCGGAGCAAAACTAACGAAGATACAGCGGTTTAAGTAACCGCGTCTCATACATGACTCAGCGCATCAGAAAATACCTGCCCGGCCCGAGAGCGCTATTGTTACCTGGCAACGAGGGCGGCACCGAGATGAAAATTCTTACGATTTATGAGCCTTTTATTCAAAAAATATGCTAAAAAGAATGGCTAAAGCCACCGAAAATTCGTCTCGGAGCCGCCCTTGCCTGGCAGCTGTTTCGCTTACTATATGATCCCTAACCTTACCTTCTACCTTTCTTTATAGAAATTTTAACACAAGTACAAACGTGTTTATATCTGTACTGTGTATAATTTAGTGTAGCATTGGTCTGGCATGTTCTTTTGCTTTGCTAACCTACATGCAAGACATA